ACACTAGTAACCAAATACTGTTTTACGTTAGCAACTCTCTTGATTATCTAAACAAATGTTCCAGGGAAAATGGATTCTGGATTTGGGGAGACAAGACAAGATGCCTCATACAATGTCTTAAATTCCTTAATGATATAAAAAAAACGCTAAGTCTAATTTGGAAAATGATTGGACATACTCTTCTCTGGCTATTCTTTTCATAGGTTGTAAATTACTTGCAAATAACTTAAGCAAAATTATTCCACTTTGAGGGGTTACACAGCTTTTTCTGGATTCAAAATTCATAAATACAAAATGACAGAATATTCTTTTATGAGCATGTAATTTTACCTCTCCTATTCCACTTGCAGAAAAATCTGACTACAGATTTGATATAGAAACCATATCACGTAACTTAGACTCTTTACACTTGTGAACAAAAGTTTAATGTGTGACACAATTGTTTGCACTGTTTATAATTTGGCCATGTGAAACAACCAATGCTTCTGCTTCCAGTCAGCACAATTATGTTGTCAGCTTTAAAAACTTACTTTTTCTAGTGCTTTTCCTAATATTACTTCACAACTAATGTTAATAATATTACATTATTTTTTATTAGTTCTCTTCACAAAACATGTTTCTAAAACTCAGTAACATTTTTTTTCCTTTTTTTTTGTCCCGACCCCGTAACACATATTTTCTATCACTATTGTTTTTTTTCAGTTACAAAGACCCATAACTTTAATAATGAAGTACGTGATAATTGCTTATATCTTTTGATTTTTACAGAAAGACTTTAACCATTCCTATCTTTATATGTTTGAAATGCAGTGTAAGCAGTATTTTCCAGTTTTCACACCAGGTGTTAGTCAAATACAACTGCTATGAATATTTGCCTTCTATAAAATATCCTGCAAAAATGGTATCTAAAGTAATGGTAAGCATTAAAACTTAAGCTGAAAAGCACACAATCATGAAAGTATAACTATGGCATGAATATAAGAGATTTATGGATTAGAAATTCAGTTTGGGAATATAATTCTAATGATACAGTTTGAATTTCATAAACTTGTTTTGGGCACTACTGTCTAGCAAAGATTCTAATGGTCATCTATGAGAAGCGTCCTCACCACATAAGGCTGGGCTCTCAAATGTTTTAGAAAATTGTTCATTCCCAATGATGATTTCAAAGAGCATTCTTGGCAAGGTACAACTAATTCTTCCATACATTTCTTATTAAAAAAAATCACACCACCCATGCATCCTCATGGTCTCTGCACATTAATGTAAAACCACAAACACATAAAAATATACCTTGAAGTGTATCCACAATTCCCTGGGATTTCTCATTGAGCTGGAAAGAACCTGTGTCTTCCATGCATACCAAGGAGTGACCATGCATACCAGAATACAGTACATGAGCAGAGAGTGCCACTAAGGGTTTTTTTTATTACGCTCTCATGAAGCAAAGAATTCCTAGCTTGCTATTTCAGAATAAAATGTTGTATCTCAGGTAAGACATCACTGCTATTTATAAATGGCTGCAGGTGAAAACAAATTCCATTTCAAAATATTAAATCTGCTTGGAGCATTTAACTAAGGTATCTCTTAGTCCTATAGTTGTGTTACACAATGCTTGAGAAACCAGAATTTAACAAAAGAACAGCCACATTTCATGAAATGTGCTAATGGAATTGCTCTGTGACCATGAGGCTGAATTGTATGCTTTTGTTTATTTGACTATCATATCATGAATATGCTTTGAAAGAAAATCAAAATTCACTGTTTTAGTGGATTAACATTCAAAGTCACTATCCCTTTTAGTTTTTCTAGAAAAAAATGGTCTTTTCATTAAAATGTAGTATTCTTTAATAATCTCGTATCTTGGGGATACATAAGGTTATGTCTAATTTGTGTGGGCACAAATTACTTTCTTTTAGTTAAAAAAATTCAATATTCCTTATATTAGGATAAAATTATTTTTTAAATGGATGCATTTATTCATATTAATGTCTACCTTCAGACTTCACAAACTTTTCCATATTTTATTGGAAAATTTTAATAGGTAAATTAAGCCTGGTATAGTATTAAAAACTGATGAAACAGACTGAGTTAAAGAAATGCCATGGCGTATTTCTTTTTGTACACGGGTTCTATTTAAAATACTTTTTAGTAGTACACCCTGTGGGAGAGAAAAAAAATGAAAGAAAGAAAACTAATGTTCAATTCCTTCAGTTTGAACACTGAAGCAAGCAAGTTTAGGGGCATTTTGGATCCACTGTATTTGTATACACCAGAAGCAAGGTTGGTCTTTGTGTTAATTTTGATACAGAGGACTAGTCCTATCATAAGCACTGGAAGAAAAAGGGACCTTTAAGCAAAGTCTTAAAATCCTACAAAACTTCTTCCAGGCCATCTCATTCCACTATTTCTTTTTGACTTTCTCTCAAGAGGTAGTCTATCTTCAACTTCCAGATCCTGACATCCTCAGTTTTTGTCATTTCAAAATATACATTGCATACAGATTCTGACCAGAGATTTCCTAGACGTTTTTACATTTGTAGCACAGGCCACAGCATAAGGAAATCTGAAATGGTACAATTTTAGGACTTCGAAAGAGGTTCCTGGAAAGATAGGTGATGATGGTGGTAGTGTACTATGTTGGAGGACTTACCAATAGCCGCACTCCTAAGACTTGTTTTAGCACCAGTAGGAAGCATTTTCTTAATTAGAACTAATAATCTTTCTACTGCTTATGAAATATGAACCCTGATACAATTTCTTGGGAGCAAGAGGCAGTTTTTTCCTAATAGTATTATTTTAACTATAGGTGGATGCTAATATGGTGAACCAAATTCAGTGGAAATAACAAATTTGTAAAAATGTTTATCTGCACTAGGGAAATCACTTGTGAAAATGCTGATTGTACCCCAACCCCTAGATTTTACCATTCTGAAAAAATAAATCTACAAATTCATATAGACTAGTTGAATGAATAATGAGGAGTAAATATAATCAGTGATCTGGTTAGGTACATTTCTTGGTGTTTAGGAATAGACCTAGGAATAAGACCTTAACATATATCATAGAGCTAGGAACATTAAAAAAAAATAAAGTATGCTTTCTAGCTTTAAATATACACATACCAATGGGTATTTTTAAAAATGTCTAATTTTGAATGTCAACATTTCATGTAAAAGTGATTTTGAACTAGCTCTTGCCATTATTTAATTAACCACTTTAATTTCTATTTGTGGAAATGAATCTAAGAGAAGAACAAAATTTCCATTTCTTTGCTAGAGATATTCTCCCCAAATTCATGGGTCAATAGTAAACTACCATCCCTTTAGTGTTCAATGTAAAAATACAAAGGACTGTTAAAGTTATAGAGCTGTGGTGGTAACTGTTAAACACTCAACTACTAACTGAAAGGCTGGTGTCGGTTTGAATCCACACAGTGTCTGTAAGGGACAAAGACCTGATGATTTGCTCCTATAAATAGTACAGCCAAAGATAACCCTCAGTTCTACTGTCAGATGGGGGCACTATTAGTTGAAGCCAGCTCAATGGCACTTACCACAAACAGAGATGAGTTATTTAAGTTTAAGTACACTACAAAGAGACAAAAAGCCAATGACTGACAATGGGGCCTCTTTTACAAAGTTCCTATCATTCAAACTTTGAAGATGGATCTTTGGGGGCATCATGTCAATAGGATACTATAGAGTGGAAGAACAAAGCCACTTATAACTGCAGTGAGAAAACAAAATGAGGCAACATGTACATCTGGTCTGCTAATGTATGTCTTAATGAGTCTTTGAACTTTAATGACCATGATAAAACTATGGTAATAAAATATACTGCAAATCAAATGCATTTGGACATAGGATACAGTTACATATAAATTCATTTGAAAAATAGAAAGATTCACATTAAAATTTTAAGAACCTAGTGCTGGAGCATTTTATTTGTTTTTATATGGTGTACGTATGAAGTCAACTCTGTGGCCAATAGGAAGTAAATTTTTAAACAATGAAAAATCAAAACAATCAATAAGGCCATTCGTATGTAATGGAGAGTTTAATTACTAGAAAAAATCTATGAATGGTATAAAATATTCATATAAGTGTATTAAAAATTTGCACAGCAGTCACAGCAAATGACAGTTTAATACATTGCTTTGAGTTTTTATCTGAACAGTGGGCAATGCTTCATTTCAGTGGGTAAATTTTTTAAAATTAGACTTTTAAGACAAGATAATAGTCACTTCTTTGTAAAAATTCAGATTTGTGATGCTAAAAAATTCTTTAGTGTTTAAAGATTATATCCTGAAAATTTACTACCTCCTTGTCTTTCATCAATCACAATCGTACTTAAAAATTTTCCTAGCTAACACTGCTTTACATTAATACAATTTAATCAATACCCAGAGTAATACTTTAGAGTGATGATTTATGCTGGGGGAAAAAAAAGCAGAAATTCGAATGCAACAATTTCCCTCATTCTGCCACTCAATGGTGGAAAGAGAAAAATGATCAGTTAGGAGGAATGTTCTAGTTACATTTTTATTATTAATTAAAACTTGATTTCCTATTTTTTATCAATCATTATCTTAGGAACTAATTTAAAATAACTTTATAAGCTATCACCTAGTTTCTTTAAGAAGTGTATGCAAATACAAGTTATACAATAGAAGATTATATCACAAAATGAAACTTTTTGTTTTCATTTCTATCCCTAGTTTGGCAATGAAATAACTTGTGGTTCTTTGGAATTAGGCTTCAAATGTTTACAAATTAAGCCAGGGTTCTTTATCATTTGGGTTTAATTATAGTAACTCTCAGATTTCATCACAATTAAGCCTATTAGGATAAGCTGTGAAGAGATCATTTTACAAACAAATTTCCAAAAGCATACAAGATTAATCCATATGCTGCTTAGATGAGGCACAATAAAGAAGCATTACTGAGATAATCTATGGCTAAAATGATGGTGTATGACTTATGATTAAGCTTCATTACCTGCAGAGCAAGGGGCTTCCATCTCATATTTTTCAGTAAAGCTGGTGCTGAGGTAAGCATGCTCTGAGGTCGCTTTTTCAAAGTTAAGATAACACCACTCGGGTCCTCTCGTAGTGCATTCACCAAATTTTTCAACTGCCACCCCACCTGGTAACCAGCAAAATCATTACAATAAAATTGAGGTACAGTATTCAAGATTTAATGTTTTCCCCCTTTAATAAGATTAGTTTTTTTAATCACATAATTGGTGTACCATCCTATCAATTTTCAGGAGATTTATACTCAAGAAAGAACTTTTATCACTGACTTGATTAGGCATGTTATTGCATAAGAGTCCATTTCAAAATGAGACAACATAGTGGACAGTTACCATGTCAAAGGAGAAGCTAGAACAGTATCCTGCCAATGGAGTAATTTAGAATGCAAAGAAATGATGTCACCATTAATGCTGCTCAGCTGTTAGGTCTAGCTCCAAGCTCTGTTCACAAGTCAAAAATTTAAAATCCACGTGCCTGAAAACAAGAACTTGGCAATGCCCTGAGCTTAAAAAAACACACCACATGCTTTCTCATCACCATCTTTGAGATAAATGTGGCACACATGCCCTTAAATCAGACTGGCATCAGACTAGCAATATCTGGTGCCGACACACCAAGGCAACATTCTGATGTATGGAAGCTTCAATAAAATAACCTTTTACCATGCTATAAAAATAGAATAAAAATGACAAGGTAATGCTTCTTCAATATAGCAGCTATTGGGAATGTATTCCAAATAACACTATAAACTTAGAATATTATGTGCTAAACTTAATGAAGCTATTTTATTTGACTATCAACTCAAGACATATTGTACAATTAAACCGAAGTACTTGGTAAATGTTCTGACACCTGGCTCAGATGTTAGTCATGTTAGAATACTTCATTATTATTTTAAATTTCTGAATACAGAGCAAGTTGTGTTAATATTTTTAATGAACTAGTGATGCTGTATCAGGTAACTGAAATCTTACAACTAGTTTAAAAAACACATTAAAGTTTATTATTCCAAAATTTGTTCTTTAAAAAAATTATCTATGAGGTAAAAACCTTGTATTCTAATTTGAATGAATTATCACATTCTAGGATGTGTTATATAAATATACTGGCTCGAAAGGTAGCCTGAATTTGAAGCAGTGCGTAAATGGTCTAATTTCTTATGAACCTGAGTGAAAGAGTGAGGGTGTATTTTGTCAGTTATTCATATTTTGTCCAGAAGACTCTGCTTCACTGGAGAGAATGAGCACTTCCCCAAAGCAGCACAGATCTCTAGCGACCACGATGAAGAGGTAATCTGGAATGCATCCACAGAAGGAGAATGGAAGACGCCAGTGTATTTAATGGGCATTATTTGAAAGTATAAGCTTAACTACTGCTGAGTTGAATGATGGTGAAGAAAAAGAGGACACGAAAGAAGTGAGACACTGTAAATACTTAAAATCTCAAGAGCCTCAGATACGAACCAAAAAATCATTGTGATATCTGCCTAATCTAAATAAGATCCTGCCAATTTAGAAAACACACACACGTTAATGTTGATCAACTATAATAATGGAACTGGTCAAATGTTTCCTACTACATATAAGTAGAAATTATTATGATCTCAAAGGCATATTACTTTGATTCGGATTCCTTTGATGGCTAAATAATGTCCCTATAGCCTTTCTACCAGCTAAGAGTCAAAGAAAAGCGAGCTTAAATCCAAAAGCTTGAAAAAAACAAAAAGGGCAAGAGAGAAGATTTCTGAGTTATAGGCTTGGAAGGAGAAAACATATTGGTTATATGAAGAATTTATGAGCAACAATTAATAATAACCACATGACTCATTTACTTAATAATCCAGTATATAAAGCAGTCAATATGATGGACATACCTTTCTTCCAGCTTATCTATTCTCAATAATGGGTTACACATAGCATTCTACCCAGTTGTTTTGTTCATTTTAGTCTATAAGTTCTTTATGAATAGTTAAAAGATTTCCGAGATAAATGGTGTTCAGTGTAATTTGACTCATCTCCATTCACACTTTCTATATGCTTTTTTAAGTAAACAATTAAAATAAAGAATTGCTTTTCCATCAGAAAGTAGAATTGTTTTTTAATGAGAAAGTTAATTTGGTTAGATTTGAATTTTACAGCTGAATGTTATTTAATGACAGCAAAAGTGGTTATATAACTTTAGTACTTTTTAATTAGGCTTCCCACTACCATTGACATAACATTAGCAATGTTTTCATAAGAAGCAAACACATATACACCAAGAAGCATAAAGAGTCCATGTCTTTGACTCCCAAAACCTACTTCCACTAACATAGGAAATAATTTGGATAAAAAGCACAAAGATAAATATATAATATGCGTGTTACACAACTGTCTGAACTTACCTAAATTATATTTATCTTTAAAATTTCCATTACTAAGAGAGGAATGTTGTTGTATGGCAGTGAGTTGCAAGATGATAAATGTACATCGATACTATTTTTGTAAAAAATGTATATAAAGTTACAGGAAGATATACAATAATAGTAGTGGTTATATTAGAGAGGCAGAGAGATTGTGATATAGATTTTCTTTTTTATAATTTTATATGCTGAATTTCTGGCAGTAAGAAGGAATTGCTTTTATAAACCACCACAAAAAATGTGCAGGTCAAATAGAACCTACTTCATGAATAACAGTTCTTAACTCCAGTTAAGAACTCATATATTTTAAGAATTACCTATTCAGTACCGCTTGTTCTGGATGGAGAATTTCAACAAAAACAACAAACTTGGCTCATTTCTTCGTTAATTATCTATTGTTGCTATATGTATGTGGGAAACAAAAAATATTATTTTTAGAACCTTTATGAAATACATCTATCAAAATATGAAGCTATCTAGGCCTACAACTTCTGAAGGCAATGTTTCCTTCTCTCTAACTCTTCCTCCAAGAATTCTGTGCTCTTTGATTTACACATAAAAAGGAAATTTTGACAATACTAGGAGATTCGAAATTGTGTTACTTTTCAATTTTCTTGGAGTTTCTGGAACAAAAAGAATTCTGAAGGGGCAGGATCAGGGCCAAAGGGTGGATGAGGTTAGGATTCCCAGTGAAATTCTCGTAGGACAGCCCTTGATAATTTTATTATAAAATTTATTTTATTTTAGGAAATCATTTTATTGGGAGCTCTTACAACTCTTATAGCCATCCATACATCAATTTTATCAAGCCCATTTGCACCCTTGATAATTTTAAATGATTAGATGCAAACTTTCCTGGCCTTTTTCTCACTAGTGCAGGTTTAATTTTCTTAAAACTTCACCCTAATAAGCTCTTCTGGTCATCCTGTGTCTTTCAAGAATATCTATCAAGATCACTCTCCGGAGCCCAAAATAAAAACACAGTCACCATAAGCTTCGGAGCTGATCTCTCAGTTTTGGGTCTCACTGGACCAGCAGATCTCCTCAGAAGTTACACTTTTGATTGGACATTTTTTCAAGACTCTGCATTGAGCTATAGTTCTAAACCTCCAGCTGCTGTATGGGATGGTGTGATAAAATGAGACAAGTTTATGTTACAACTTCAACAAATCTGGGGGCTTAGGTTATAAGCTCGATGAAATAGTGTACTCATGTAAAAAGAGATGTTAGTATATTGTAATCATTTTTCAAAATATGTTCTTCATTTTCTGAGTTAAGTCTTGTTGGTTTGGAATATTAAGTATGATATGATTGAAACAGAAAGTGTATTATTATAGTAATAATTTAAAAATCAGTAATTTAAATGCTATGAACCATTAATATGGAACAAAATTAAATAAGGTGTAAAATTTCAAGATAAGAGTATGGATAGATATGAAGAAAATTTCTCTAATAATCAAAGACATCAAAACAAGGAATTTGCTAACTTGTGAAACTCTTGAATATGAAACGAGATGTTAAACTATTTTTCTACAGGTTAAATGATTAGATGAATTCCAACGTCACAATGCGTTTCAATGATAACAAATGGAGGAAAATGAGAATAGATGATGACAATAGAGCAGTTTGAGCAAAAGAACAAGTATCTCGACTTGTCTTCCATCATTCCTTTCTCTCGATAACTAACAAATGTAGGTGTTCCCTTTATGGTAAATATCAGACATATTTCTAATATTTTATGCACTAACTACTTTCTTCATGATTCCCAAATGTCTCTAGTCACCCATACTTTCTATCATGAACTTGAGTCATGCATTTCCAATTATTCACTTCAGTTCAAGCATACTAACAGCTATTGAATTACCAGGCACCTATAATTTACCATGCTAGTTCTTAATATTTATGTTACATTCCTTTTATTTTAGTTATATTTCCATTATTTTGAAAGCCCATGAACTAAGCTTTGGAACTTTTCTTACATTCTGAAGAAACTAAAGCACAAAGAGGTAATAAGTAGCAATTCCAGAAGTCACATCCAAGCATCATCCTCTGAATCTCATCGCTTGCCCAAGTGAATGGAACTGTTCAGAAATCAAACTCAATTTTCCATTGCCCTCATTCACCCGAGACAAAGGTTCTCCATTCAACATTCTCTCGTTCATAATTTAGGCTCACCTATGATCTTTCCCCTTCATTTCAAATCCGTGTTTGTGTCATGAAGAAAAGATCCTAGCAAGGAGCACATCTTAACACTGCCTTAGTGCTGGGTTTAGTATCTGATCCCTAGACTTAAGAGAGCGTACAAGTGGTCTTTCTGCTTCTAGTCATTCCACAGCCCAAGAGACCACTATCATGTAAAAGTGTTCTCCTTTGCGAAACCTTTGAATAGCTCTCTGAGGTTCCACCTAATTAGCCAATTCCTCAACGAGGTCCTTCTTAATGTGACTACATCTTTGTCTCCTACTACTTTAAAGCATTGGTTCTCCAACTTAAGCATGCATCGGAATCACTTGATGCATTTAAAACTGGTTAAAACACAGTCTGCTGGGCCCTACTCGGAGTTTCTTACATAGTAGGTCTGGTGTGGTGACCAAGAAATTGCTACTTTTAACAATTACTCAAGTGATGCTCATACCCCACTTTGAGAACCTATGTACTAAAAATATCCTTAAATGTGGTGATTTACCCATGTTGAGAATATTTTAGGT